AAACAGTTGTTAGCCACCTGTGAGTGCTGGGTCCTCTGCAAGAGCAACTAGTGCTTTTAACTGCTGAACCATCTCTCCAGCCCCTCAACCTGACTTTTAAAGAGACAGGCAGAAGACTGCTCATCACTGCTTTAAAATTTTTTATTACATTCATTTATTATATGTGTGTAGATGGGCATTAATATGGGCACGTGTGTGCTGTGGCACACACCAAAAGGTCAGAGGACAACCTGTGGGAGTTGGTTCCCTCTTTCCACCATGTGGGGCCTGGGGATTGAATTTAGGTCAGCAGGCTTGATGGCATGCACCTTTATCCCCTGAGCCATCTTGCTGGCTTTCAGTATTGCTTCCAAAGAAAAGTGCAAGAGATTAAGTGGTGATGATGGTTCTTCCTACGACAGGGAAGTGCAGGGAATTATTTTATCCATTACCCAAAAGCCTAAGCTTAACATCTAACACACACTGAAGATGGAGATTTTTTTTATTTTGTTCGTTTTGAGACAGGTCTCCCTGTAGCCACAGCTGGGCTAGAACTCGCTATGTACATCAAGCTGGCCTTGAACTCACAGAGATCTGCCTGCCTCTGCCTCCCAAGTTTTGGGAGAAGATGGAGATTTTTTTTTTTTTAAAGGAAATTATTTTTTTATTTACTATTTTTATTTTATGTGTATGCGTGCATTGCTGCGTGCAGGTAAGCGCACCTGTGCTGTGCAGTGCCCACAGAGGATAGAAGAGGCTGTTGGGTCCCCTGGAACTGGAGTCACAGACAGTTGTTAGCTGCCCAATGGGTGCTGGGATTTGAACCCGGGTCTTCTGTAAGAACAACCAGTGTTTTAACCGCTGAACCATCCCTCCAGCCCGAAGATGGAGATTTTGAGACTGAACAGCATACTCCATTTTCCTCTAGTCTTGAATAACGCGATTTCTTCCACTGGTCTCTTATTTTTTAAGAAGTATTTTTTTCTAAAAGATTTATTATTTTAAAATATTTTATTATATTTTTATATGTATGCATGTATTGTCTGCATGTAGGTAAGCGCACCCTTGTTGTACAATGCCTGCAGAGGACAGCAGAGGCTGTTGGATTCCCTGGAACTGGAGTTACAGACAGCTGTTAGTTGCTGTATGTGGGTGCTGGGATTCGAACCTGGATCTTCTGCAAGAACAACCAGTGTTCTTAATCGCTGAGCCATCTCTCCAGCCCCAAGATTTATTATTTTTAAGTCACACACACACACACACACACACACACACACACACACACACACACACACACACACACACACACACACACGTGTATGTGATTGCAGATGCCTATAGAGGCCAGAGGCATAGTATCCCCTGGAATTGGAGTTACAGGTGGTTATGAACCATCTGATGTGGGTGCTGGCAACCTGAACTCTTTTTTTCTGACAGAAGAGTATGCATGTGTGCATGGTATTTGTTTTTTGAGACAGGATCTCCCTGTAGCCCCACCTCTCCTTGACCCCACTATATAGACCAGGGTGGCCTCAAACTCAAAGAGATCTGCCTGCCTCTGCTTCCCAAGTGCTTAGATCAAAGGCATGCACTACCATGCCAGACTAATATGCATTCTTAACCACTGAGCCATCTCTAGCCCCTCTTGTGGTTTTGTCTGAATGATCTGTGCATTGATAATAGTGGAGGCACTGAAATCCCCTACTATTATTATATTGAAGCTCATTTCATTCCAAGCCCTCCGGGCATTTATTTATTGTTTGTTTAAGACAAGAGCTTATGTAGCCCACCCTAGTCTTGAACTCCTGGTCCCCCTGACACCCACCTAGCCTACCCTGTCTGCCTTTCATGGTTTCTGTTGATATGTCTGTTGTTAGTTTAATGGGTTGTCCATAAATGTAAGATGATATTTTCTTTTGTGGATTGTAAAATTCTTTGTGCTGTCCTTTTCACTGTTTTAGTATGATATATTGTAGAGAGGGTCCTTTTCAGTCACGTCTGTCGACATGTTGGAAGTTCTGTAGCTCTCCTCTACCTGGATGTACATGCCTTGCCCAAGATTAGGCAAGGTTTGTATTATTTCAGTTGGTTTGCTTTGCCTTTACCTTTTTTTGTGTGTATGTTGAAACATGCATGTTTGATCTTTTAATGATATTGCTAAAATCTTGCACTATCTCTTCATTCTTATTTTCTATTTTTAAAAAAGTTTTATTAGAAATTAATAGTAAAATAAATAGCTACAGAGAATATGGGTATCATCTTGTTATAGCACATCCAACAAATCTGTCCATTTATTTCCAGTTATTTTTCTATTTTTATCTTAATGTGTTCCTTTTAAAAGTTCTATTTTCAAACTCTGGTATCTTTTTCTTCTGCTTGATCAAGTCTGCTGGTGAAGTTTTCAAATGAATTTTCTATTTGATTTATTGAGCTCTACATTTCCCGAATTCCTGGTTTTTCAAAATCTCTCATTGCTGAACTTCTCCTTTCTATCTTACATAGACTTCCCAAAATTCATTTAACCATTTATCTGTCTTCCCTTGGATCTCACTTAAAAAAGTCATTATTTTTAATTCTTTATCTAACATTTCATCTTGTTCTCTATATCTTGAAATCTGTCACCAAAAAGTTTTGTTCCCCCCCCCCTTTTTTTTTGTTTCTCTTGAAATTTGCACATCTGGTAAAATGGGCATCTCCTCCACTTCAGTGGCATGTTCTTGCAAGTAGCTTTCTATTGAAGGTAGGTCTTGGCAGTATTAGTTCCTTATTCAATGTTGTTTATTTCTGGCTGTTACCATAGGGTAATCAATCTCCCTGCAGCTTCTTTAGCTGTGATTAGTGAGTTTGGGCACAGCCCATATATAGTATTGGAGTTGAAGAGACCCATTATTTCTTTGGGTGATGCAAGAGTAGAGTTGCGGTAGCAATTCAGGCAGTGTGTGGTGAAGGGGGTCCTATGTCATCACTTGGGAAAGGTATCCTCTGTGGGTAATGGATACTGATTCTGTTATTTGAATAGGCAGCTCTAGTAATTATTTAGGATCTAAAAAATTTGTCCTTTGGTTAAACCAGTCCAAGTGGTTCTCTAGGAGGGCAGACATCACAGCACTCACTCTATGCTGCTGATTCCTGGTTTAGACAGTGTGTGATATACAAGATATGGTGTCATGAAGACTGATATAGAGGGTAATGTAGGTGTGATGGAAGCAAAAGTTGTTATCGTCTCTGCTGCTGTGGGCATGTCCACCCAGGAGGGGGACCTCAGAATTTCACCCCCTCCTCTGGTGTGCATGCTTGGGATGGACAATAGCTGAGGATTTTTTTCCCCTGAAAAGTCAGTTGTACTATCTACCAGGGGTATTGCAGGAATGAGTTGCAGCTGGAAGTAGGCAAAATTCCTCTGAGTTTAGGTGCAAACAGAAGTGAAGGAGAGAGCAGAATATAGCTAGACAGTCCTCTCCCTACTTGAGGCTGTGTATGTATGGGCAGGCCTGCAGCTGCAGTCCCAGTCACATTGCTTGAACTGCCCCAGCACACCCATGTGGGTTGAGAAACAATATAGTCCCAGAGTTCTGTTCTTCACCTTGTTAGAGACAGGAGTTCCACATACAGCCCTCCTGACTCATTGGCTTGGCTTCTATGCCAAACCACCTGTGACTAAATTCACCCCTATTTCAGTTAGTTTACTTCTAATCTTTTTTTTTTTTTTTAAATGGACACTACTGTGCATTCCACTCAGCATCCCTGGTATCCAGATATACCCAGTATATATCTCTTGGTGGTTTTGTGCCAGAATCAGTCCACTGAGTCAAGTCTGACTTGGGGCACTTTCATTGTTCCCGCCCCCTGTCCCCCCTCCCCGAAAAAACCCAAATAAACAAAAAACATGGATAGTCGACATTCTGACAGTTATCTTTTCTCGAGAAGGCTCTTGGCTGTAACACTCTGGAGAATTTTTGAGAGATCACTTCTTTCCAAGGCTGGAATAATATATACATTTTAGACCTTTTTTTTTTTTCTACTTAGAATGTAAGCTTCCAGGGACTGAAACTTAGAATGGTAGGGTCTGTGTTGGCAGTTTGTAGACTGTTTTTCACTTTTGTCCTTGTAGAGAAGAGACTCCATTTTCCCAACCTGCAGAGCTAGGGGCAGCACGTTTGAGATGTTTTTTCTGTTACTATGCTGCTTGTTCCAAGCCTGTAGATTTTATATGATTTTTGTTTTCTTTTTTGTGGTTGAATGCCAGTCTTTCTCCATAGGCACTTATCTCAATATGCAGCTGTATGTCTGTTACCTGTTGCCTTCATTCATGCATCACCCCCTCCGCCCCTTCCCTCCCCTCTTAAGCAGGAGAATGGTGGTAGGTGCCTCTATTTAGCCATCTTGCCTTCCCACTTCCAGAGTCACTTAAAAGTAGTGCAATTGAAGTATTTGGGCTGGAGGGGCTTACCTACAATAAATTTATTACATTGTTTTTTTTTTTTGTAGTCTTAAAGTTGGTAGTGGATATTTTGCTTTTGTGTAACTGGTGGGATCTGTTGTATAAATGTATTCCATTCCTGGAAGCTTTACACTTGATTTGTAGTTGAATTTATTTCCTGAATACATTATAGTATGGAAGAAGTATTTAAAAACCAACCAGAGGCTGGAGAGATGACTCCGTGATTAAGAGCACTTAACCTCTTCCAGAGGACCTGAGTTCAAATCCCAGTACCCACATGGCAGCTAACAACCATCAGCAACTCCAATTCCAGGGGATCCAACACCCTCTTCTGACCTCCACAGGCATTGCATGACATGGGTGCACCTAACATACATGCAGGCAATACACTCGTACACATAAAATAAAAATAATTAATAAAATCAACCAGTACTGATTGTGATTGTTTAGAATACTCACATGTTCTGTTTTTGTTTTTCACTCATATAAGTCCTATAACTATAGTCAAGGTATGTAAATAAAAGTGTTCTTTTTAAAAAATGATCTTTCTTAACCTGTTTTTAAAAATTTTTTCTTTTAGAGACAAAAAAGCGGCAGTGTAAAGTTCTTTTTGAGTACCTTCCACAGAATGAGGATGAACTGGAGCTGAAAGTAGGGGACGTCATTGATATTAATGAAGAGGTAAGAGTAATAATCATGAGTAAAGTGGCAATTAACAGTCTTATTTTCAGAAAAATACTGTCAGAATATTAAATTATTTTGAAAATTTATGCCAATTTTCAATACAATGTAAAGATCCAGACTTCTTTATTCTTCTTTGCTGTATGCTATCTGTGTACTGTATTTGTATAGTTAAGGGAAAAACCCATTGTTTTAAAGCTTAAAATTAATGTAATTTTTGCTGAGAAGATGACTCAGTGGGCAAAGGTGCTTGCCATGCAAGCCTAGCTGCCCAAGTTTGATCCTAAATGTCTGTGAGACCCAGTCCTACAGAGTTGTCCTCTGACCTCCACATGAATGTTGTGACACACATCACCCACACTCACATCACCACTACTACTACTACACTACTACTACTACTACTACTACTACTACTATTACTACTACTACTACCACCACCACTAAAATAATGAAGATTAATGTAATCTATTTAGCCAAAGCCTGGGAGAGCCTTTTCTTTGATTTTTGAATTCACTGTAGCACAAAGTAAAGTGAAACTTTCTTTTGGATGATACATGAATGCAGTGCCGAAATTGCTTTACAGTCTTTGTGTTGTTTGAATTCTGCGTGCATATAGTAGCCAACAATACCTTCTGCACAATTTAATATTTTAGAATACGATAGGAAAGTATTTTTAATTTGTCACATGTACTTTTCTCATTGAAAGAATATTAAAAGTTTGGCTGGACAGTTGAAGATGACATTTTCACAGACTATGCTTTGATAAAATATCTTAGCCAAATTGATTTTGTGTCATAATGTCTTATTTATCACTAATGTTTATGTTAACTTCTAGGGCATGTATAAAAAAGCTGTTCTGAGCCAGGTGGGCGTGTGGCATATGCCTTTGAATCCAGCCCTGGAGGCAGAGTCAGGTGGATTGAGGCCAACTTGGTTTCCATAGTGAGTTCTAGGCCACTTGAGGCTACAGGGAGACCCCCCTCTCCAAAAGAAGACAGTTCTGCTTATTCTGATGGCATCCATAGTTAATTTATTGAGCCTCATATCTGAAGTACTGTGCTAATAAGTATTTCATATTTATTTCCTTAAAGGAGTCTAGCAGAAGGGGAAATGTGTATCTCTGTTTCACATAGGTATAGATTAAATCACAGAGAATAGCATTGCTGTTACTAGGGCCTGGAGAGATGGCTCAGCAAGTTAAGAGCACTGGCTGTTCTTGCAGAGTGCTGCCCAGGTTCAATCCCCCAGCACCCACATGGCGGCTAACAACCATCTGTATCTCTAGTTTCAGGGAAATCCCGACACCCTCTTCTGATCTCCATGGGCATTGTACAACACAGGTGCACTTGCATATATGCAGGCAATACAATCACACACATACAATAAAAATAATAAAATATTTTTTTAAAAATTGGCATTACTGTTGCTGCATAGGAAGCTCCCTGAAGGTTAGTGGCAGAGAACAGGTGTTACTCTGTGGCTCAAGAACTCAGGCTGGGCTGATTTGTCTGTTCTGTGATGCCCAGCAGGGCCTTAGCTGGAAAGGTTCAGAGGTGGCCTGGTGAGAGCAGTCCTGGGAAAACTCTTAATTCACATCTAATGTCTAAATGCCCTGAAGACTAGAAGTCCCCCTTGCACGGTTATTTATTTTTTAAAACTTTTTTTTTTGTCTTTTTGAGACAGGGTCTCTCTGTAGTCCCAGCTGACCTGAACTCACTATGTAGACCAGGCTGGCCTTGAAGTCACAGAGGTCCACCTGCCTTTGTCTCCCAAGTGCTGGGAGTAAAGGTGTGCGCCACCACGCCCAACTTAAAAGCATTTTTAAAAATTATTTTTGTTTTCTGTGTATGAGTGAATTGCCCATATGTATGTAAATACACCTTTATTGTGCAGTTCCTGTGGAAGTCAGAAGAGAGCATTGGATTCCCTTAGAAATGGAGTTACAGGTGGTTGCTAGCTGCCATGTGGGTGCTGGGAATCAAGCCAAGGTTTTCTATAAGAGCAGCCAGTGCTCTTAACCACTGAACCATCTCTCCAACCCCTGTACAGTTATTTAGTATGTTTGTTATTTAGCTTGTATTCCTTACAGTATGGAAAGTTGGTATCTGGGTAATTGAACTTATAAATCAAGCAAGCATCCCAGATCTGAAATCTGAAATGATCTGAAATTGGAAACATTTTGACTAATGACCTAATACTTAAAAAGTTTGGATTTTCAGATAATACGCATTTCAGTGAAGTTAATGCAAATGTTCCAAAGCCTGAAATCTGAAACACATTTTGAATAAGGAGCATTCAGTTTGTATTATATGGCAATTTTGTAGCTCTAAGAGTAATTCAGCAAATATGATGTGAGGAACCTTTTATAGTTTAGCCTTGGAAATGATCTGTCAAGAATGAAGGGGTAGAGTACAGAAATTACTATATCTTGATGGGAACAGTGTCAATACCACATTTGTGGCATAGGAGACTTTACTGAAGCCATTTTTCCCCCTAGTCCCTGAGGAGTTGAACCCCGGGCTTCATGCATGCTAGGCAAGTGCTCACTTGGTTTTTTGAAGCTAGGTTTGTTTGGGCTGTGCCACTCAGACTCACCTCAAATTTGCAATCTTTTTTTCACCACCTGAGGCCTAGGATTCCAGGCATGTACCACCAGGCTGTGCTGTGCTGTGTGCTGTTTTAGAGAGAATATTCTTTTTTGTCTGTGTTTGGTTTTTGTTTTGTTTCTTGGAGGTAGGGTTGTATAATGTAGGCTGGACTTAAACTGGTGGTTTTCTTGCCTCACATTCCCTAAGTGCTGGGATTATGGACCTGAATTCCATACCTGACTAGAGTAAATGTTCTTTACACTATGTTACTCTTCCTTTTAAGAATTCCTTGATTAAATAAGCCTAACTGCCTAGTTGCTGATGTTGGGGTTCTGAGTATATGTAGTCTGCTGATATTCTTCTCTCTTTGTGGTGTTTGTTTTACTGTGGAATACTGGTGGAGGCCTGAAGAGGGCATTGGATTCTATGGAACTGGAGTTATGGACAAACTCAGGTCCTCTGTAAGAGCAGCCAATGTTCTCTAGCCTCTTTCATTTAAATTTTTTAAAAAAATTTTATTTTATGTGTATGTGTGTTTTGCCTACATATATGTATAGGCCCCTGTGTCATGCAATGCCTGTGGAGGCCAGAAGAGGGTGTCAGATCTCTGGAACTGGAGTTATGGACTGTTGTTCACCACCATGTGAATGCTGGGAACCAAACCCAGGTCCTCTGCAAGAGCAGCCAGTGCTCTGAACTGCTGAATCATCTCTCCAGCTCTCTCTGTTCTTTCCCTCTTTTTCGTGTCCTCCCCCCACTTCTTTTGTTTTCCTTTTATTTTTTTTCTTTTTGTTTTGAGAGGCAGGTTTTACTCTGTAGCCTACCCTGGCCTGGAATGCAGTTTAACCTAGGGTGGCCTCAAACTCTTGATGGTTGTCCTGCCCCAGCCTCCTGCATGCTGAAATTGCAGGTATGAGTCATCATGCTCAGTTTAGTATCTCTTTCAGTCTGCTAAAATCTTTGAAGATGCTTACTGCGTAGTTAACCGTCTCAAACATACTGTGTTTGAACTACTTTTATTTTGGCTGTACTGTTTTTTTTTTTTTTTTTTTTTTTTTTTTTTTTAAAAAAGAGACAGGGTGTCCCTATAGCCCCAGCTGGCCTGGAACTCACTAGATTGACCTTGAACTCACAGAGATCCACCTGCCTCTGCCTTTTGAGTACTAGAATTAAAGGCGTGTGCCACCACGCCTGGCCTAGATGAATTTTTAAAAATATTGTTATTTTTATGTTACGTGTATACATGTATTGCCTGCGTGTATATAAGTGCACGCATGTTGTGCAGTGCCTGGGGAAGACAGAAGAAGCTGTCAGATCTCCTGGAACTGGAGTTACAGACAGTTGTTATCTGCTATGTGAGTGCTAGGATTTAAACCCAGGTCTTCTATAGAACAGCCAGTGTTCTTAACTGCTGTGTCATCTCTTCAGCTCCCATTGGATGAATTTTTAGATAATTTAGATAATTCTTTTACATACTTTGGTTAAGAATCACTCATTTTTTTTGTCACTTAGGAAAGTATATTCTTTTTTTAAAAAAGATTTACTTATTTGGGGGTGTGTGTGTGTGTCTGTGTGTGTGTGTGTGTGCGCGCGCGTGCCTCCATAGTTTATGTGCGGCACATACGGAGAAGTACCCAAGGAGGTCAGAGGGAATCAGTCCCCTGGAACTGGAGATAAAGGCAGTTGTGAGCTGCCTGATGTGTGTGTTGGGAACAGAACCCATGTCCTCTCTCTCTCTCTCTCTTTCTCTCTCTCTCTCTCTCTCTCTCTCTCTCTCTCTCTCTCTCTCTCTCCCTCCCCCCTCTCTCCCTCCCTCCCTCCCTCATCTTGGCTGTGGGACTCTGCTCATCTCTAAGCTTTGGTATTTCTCTCGTCTTTTTGAGACAGGATCTCCCTATAGCCCCAGCTGGCCTGGAACTATATAGACCAGGCTGGCCTCAAACTCACAGAGGTCCGCCTGCCTCTGTGAGGGCAGTAAGCACTCAATGCTGTGAGTGTTTGTGTCCCATTCTGTCCTTTGTCCGTCTGTCCGTCCATGTGTGTGCACATGCCATAATGTGTGTATAGTGGTCAGAGGACAAATTTCAGGAGTTTCCTCCTACCATCTGAGCCCCAGGGATCAAACTCGGGGTGTCAGGGTTGGTGACAAGGGCCCTTACCTCCTGGACCATCTCCCTTGCCCGGTAAATTATATTCTTAGAATTACTGAACTTTTTCCAAACGAAAAGTTTCATAATAAATCATGAATGTTATAATTACAAACCAAAGTTCAGTAATGTGTGACCCCCAATGCACTCAGAGCTACGTGCTGTTCAGAGCTAGGTACTGTGCTTTATCACCTGGTATGCTCATAAACAGCATTTGCTCCATAGTTTGTGATTGACTCTAATTTCTCATTGTGAAGCCTGCTGCAGAGTATGATTAATACACATACTGATTTAATATTAATTTAGACTTAATCCTCTTAAAATACATTTTTTCTTACTGTGTTTTCTTTTTTAAAGGGCATGCTTTGCATCATTAACTATTTACTCATTAATTTTTATAGCTTCATTTTTCTATAGCGTGAAGGTTTTCACTTAAAACAATTTTATTATTTTTGAGTTGTGAACTTTTTCAGGTAGAAGAAGGCTGGTGGAGTGGAATCCTGAATAATAAGCTGGGATTGTTTCCCTCCAACTTTGTGAAAGAATTAGAGATAACAGATGATGGTGAAGCTCATGAAACTCAGGACGATTCAGGTAGGGTAAAACATTTGAAAAAGAAATAAGCTTTATATATGACTTTATTTTATAATTTTGAAATTGTTCTTTTGACTAGTTGGCTTTAGTTGAGCTACTTTAAAGACAAGAAAGTTACGATGGGTGTGAGAGTGAACAAACTGCCTTGTCACATTATTTATTTTTTCTTTAAGTTCTGTTGTACTCTCATTACTTAGGAATACTTTTTTGTTTTGCTTTGTTTTGAGACAAGGTCTCACTATTAGTTTTGCCTGGCCTGGAACTCTCTATGTAGAGAGTAGGCTGGCCTTGAACTCAGAGATTGACCTGCCTCTGCCTCCCGATGCTGGGATTAAAGGGGTTCCTCACCATGTCTAGTGATATATGCTTTTTGAACTGCTGAATTTGCAAATGGCTAAATTTAGTATTTGATACATTAAAAAATAAAATCTTTATTGTTTTCTGTATTCATATACTAGATTCTTTTTTTCTACAGCCAAATTCATTTAATTGTTATTGTTATTATTTTGGTCTTCTGTGACAGGGTCTTAACTATATAGGCTTGTCCGTTATGGAAATCACTTTGTAAAGCAGGCTGGCCTTGAACTTGTAGTAATCCCATCTCAGTCAGCTAAGCACTAGGAGTTCATGCCTGTGTGCTGCCATGCCTGGCTTAGATTTTTTTTTTATATTTAAATTTGTGTTTATGTTGTGTGTTTGCCTACTTCTCTGTATGTGCCCCACTTGTATACAAATGTCATGGATGCTAGAAGAGGGCATTGGATCCCCTGGAGCTGGAGTTACAGGTGTGTGATCTACTTCATGTGAGTGCTGGGAACCAAGCCTGAGTCCTCTGTAAGAGGAGCAAGTGGTCTTAACCTCTGAGCCATCTCTTAAGCCCCTGGCTTAATAATTTTTTTGTCTCAGTCAATTACAGACATAAATTCATCTTAATATTCTCACCATTTAAAGATTTGACTGAGGAATTTTTATTCCAGGCTAATTATAAATTATTGCTATTAAAAAATATCTGTGGTATTTAGGAAAATTGTTAAAAAAGATAAATTTCCAGATGCAGTTAGAGCATTGTACAAGGATTTAAAAATTTTCAGGGGCTGGAGAGATGGCTCAGTGGTTAAGAACACTGGTTGTTCTTGGAGAAGACCCGGATTTGACTCCCAGCACCCACATGGCAGCTAACAACTGTCCATAACTCCAATCCGAGGATCCAACAGCCTCTTCTGACCTCCGCGGGCATTGCACGACACTGGTGTACTTACCTATACATGCCTACACTTAAATAAAATTAAAAAAAAAATTTCATACTCGTATTAGCTGGCAGTATTTGGCAATTTTAGGGTTACATACATACATTTATAGATTTTAAGGAATAGTTTGTAGCCTGATGGTTGCTTGTTGCAGATTCTTTTTATGGTCATTGTGATGCTAGGTGTGGTAATTCCAAGTCATTCAAAACAATGAGATAGAGGGGAGGATTGCTTATTCTGCTAGGTACTTAGCATTTTCCATTGTTTTCTAAGAGCACACAATCACTATTTTATTTATATTTAATATTTTACTTGGTTTTGGTTTTTTGAGGCAGGGTCTCCCTATAACCCCAGCTGGCCTGGAACTCACTATGTAGCTCTATACCAGAGATCTATCTGTCTTTGCCTGCCAAGTACTAGGATTAAAGATGTGAGCCACAATGCTAAGCCACAGTACATTGTTTGAGCTATTATTTCCTTTTCGTTTGATCCATACTTTTAGTTTTGTGTATAGGATAGAGAAATAATGTGAAATAAAGTAACAGTATTTATAAGACTGTTAATGTGCAGCATATGAACTTCTGGGCTAACTCAGTATTAAGGGAATTTTAAAGAAAATAAATACAGATAATAATTTGAAAATTTATAGACAGTATTAAGATAATTGATAATCTAGAGTTCATTTTTGAAATTATTCTTAATATGTTGTGCTTTTTGTTTTACCATTTCAAACTTTTGTCATCACTCATAATTACATACTTTTTGTATCTGAATAAGTTTTGTGCCCTCCCTTACCCCGCAGTTTAAGAACTTCGGGAGCCTGGAGAGAAGGCAGCCTCTAAAATGGTGGAAAGGCATGAAGAAAGTTACTGATCATGGAGAAGTTGGGCTTTTTAAGTGGTAGTAAAGAGCATGAGGTGGTAGAGTAAGCTCAGCACAGTCTAGGTGAAGAGGTAGAAAGTCCTTAGAGCCCCTCGTAGCAGAGAGACTGACACTGCATAGGATTTATCTGCTTTTATTAAAGAATCAAGACTTCTTAAAGTTACAGTGTTTGAATTCCATTCTTGGGCATTTGACACTTGTCCCTTTACGACCAGCCTTCTCAACACATTTTTATTTCTGAGGCAGGCTCTCACTCTTAACGCCCACTCCTGGCCTCAGACTCATAGCAGTTTTCCTGCCTTAACCTCCCAAGTACTACAATTACAGGTACATGTGAAAAATAGTTTTTAACTTAGGGAAAAATTATTAAAATAAAAGGGTGCTTATGTATCCATATTTATGTTAACAGTTCACCACGTGCTAATTTAGCCTTCATTTTCTGTCTGTATATCTATGTTTTGAAAACCTTTTACATTTCTTTATAAGGATAGTCTCATAGGTATATTAGTATTATCATCATTAACATCATGACATTTTACAGACTTCATTTTTCTGATATACTCTTATAGCTATTTTTTTCCTCTGATGTTAATACTACACCCAGTGTTTATTTCCTGTTTCTTTAGACTAATTCCCCATCTTCTGTCTGTTTTTCTTGGCATGGAGATTTGTGATGAGTTTAGGACAGTCTGATTGTTCTTGAGTGGATTCAGGTTGTATTTTATTGAGAGCACTATAGAGTGATGTCTCACTGCTTTCTATTGTGAGACAAGTGCTGTCTCTTACTATCAGTGACATTGCCTAATTTAAATTTAGTCATAAACTTGTTAAAGCTGTTCTGCCACTCACTGCTTTTCTCCTTACATTCAATAAGTGGTTTTTAGATACATTGAGACTACGTAAATATATTATTTTTCATCAGATTTTGACTCAATACTTACAGCATCCTTAATCTGTTTTGCCTGATCATATTGCTATTATGTTTGTGAATTGGTGATTTTTTGACTTTATCTCATACATGTTTATTGTCATTTTACTCTGGAGAGCTTTTCTTTCTCTTACTTATGAGTGTAGACTACCCAGTGGACCCCGTCTTACTCACTAGATACCAATCTACTAGTATTTTGTTTTGCTAACTCTCTCAGTAATGAAGATTCCTCTCCTCCCCGAGCTTTCAGACAGAATCTCTAGCTATGGCTATTTTCCAACTCCCTATGTAGCTAAGGATGACTTTGTTAATCTTCCTGCCCTCTACCTCCCAAATGCTGGAATTACAAGCTTGTAGTAACTAACACACTAATGCTAAATCATCTTTTATTCCTCAGTCTGACACCTTGCACTTGATTTATTACTTTATTTTGTCACCTAAACAAATGTACAGGATGAAGTTTTTAAAAATTATTTTTATATGTATGAGTGCATTGCCTATATGTGTGTAAGTGCATCTCCGTTGTGCAGTGCCTGTGGAGGTGTCAAATCCCCTCAAACTGCAGTTTCAGACAGTTTTTAGCTGTCATGTGGGTGCTAGGAATCTAACCTGGGTCCCCTGCAAGAGCGGCCAGTGCTCTTATCCGCTGAGCCATCTTGGCAGTCCCAGACGCTCTTTTTTTTACCCTCTTACTGCCTATTTTCTTGGTTTAAGTTCTTCTGCGGTGTAGTTGCAGAGGTCTGTGTTCCAGGATCTCCTCACTGGGTGTTGCTGACATATAGTACCCAGGAGCTGTCACTCCTGAAGCAGCACTTCCAGAGTAGAAGCCCGACCTTCTGAAGGGGCTGCAGACCCCGAGGTAGAGCAGCCCAGCATTCTTCCTGCTGCTGCTCTGATTTCACCTCCTGTCAACTCTTCCTTTGTGTACATGGATCTCTGCACTGCTCTCTTAAAGTTGCCAAGAACATTCCTGTCTCACGGCTGTTGAACTTACTTTGTGTTTTTGTCCTTCAATTTCTGTGGGAAAGTGGATCTTGTACTTCCCATGGATATGCAAATCAGAGGATATTTCCACTTAATGCTGTGGAATCTGTGTATAATCTACAAACATCTTCTTGCTTACTTTAAATCATTTCCAGATTACTTACAATACCTAAAGCAGTGTAAAGAGTTGTAAAATTGCATTATTTTGGAAGTCTGTGTGTGTTATGAAGATGCAGGCTTTGTGTTCCTACTACATTTTCACTTGTGGTTGGCTGAATCTAGATGCAGAATGCTTGACTATGGAACCTCCATGGATGTTGTGATCTTATTGCATCTTTGCTTGGAATGCCCTTTTTTGAGATGCTCTGATGGCTTCCTGTTTGATTTCAGGATTAACTCACTATCCACTTCATTATTGATGCCTTTTCTGACAGCTCTACATAAAACATCAAAATTCTTCAATCCCTACTCTTCAGTTCCCTTCTCTTTAATCATATTTTGAAGCAGAATTTACTCTTCCTTATTTACATACTTGTTTTTCTTTTTTTCTTTTTTTTTTTTGGCAACGCACTTATTAGAACATGATTTTTTTTGAGACAGGATTTCCATATAGCCAGGGCTGTCCTGGAACTCCCTATGTAGACCAGGCTGCCCTTGATCTCACAGAGATCCACCTGCCTCTGCCTCCCTAGTGCTGGGATTAAAGGTATGTGCCAGCACACCTGGCAGAATATGATATTTTTGTTCACTGCCAAATACTGTTTTGCCGAACGACATGTTGGTACAATGAATAAAGGAATAGTTATTTTTGGTATATAAAGAACTTTTCAAGCACTTTAAAAGTAAAACTTTTTAACTTTTGTGGCTTTCCCATTTGAAGGGTGATGAATAGGACTACTGATTACTGATTTTTCATTGAGTAGTAAAAGGACAATTGGGATTCTGTTTTTCTGATGCTTCTGCCCCCTCCCTATTTTCCTTTAGTTATACTACAGAAATTTCATTTTATGTACATGTAACTCTTACATGTAACTCTTAAGACTTATGAGCAGTGATAGGAGAGTCTGTTTACATTTCCAGTGGAGACGGTGCATTAAATCAGAAATAGGGAAATGGTACATGTAAACACTACTATTCAGCTAATTTATCATCTGGTTTGTTTATTTTAATGTATTGAGTGCTTGTTGTCTAACTTACTATGCAAGGTTCTGGGAATAAAGTGATGGATAACAGCCATGATTCTCTCATTTTTGAAGCTTGTGTTCCATTCAGAATAAAAGGGCTATTGAACAAGTAAATAGCATTGCAATTTGGCATGAGAAATATCTATGACAGGAAAGTTCAGGATACTATAGATATATGGAAAAGGGGGAAACCCCCTGCAGAAGTCATAGGTTGAGTTCAAATAGGAAAGGCCTCACCAAATTTTAATCAGAGTGAAGAAAAAACATAGTATTTTATTGTTTTGCTTTCTTTTTTGAGACTCACTGTGTCATCCTTGATGTGCTAAAACTCGCTGTATAGACCAGGCTGTCCTCAGACTGACAGAGGTTTGCCTGTCTTTTGTCTCTTGAGTGCTGGAATTGAAGTATTTTATTACCTACCTGGTACTAAAGTATTATGTCACTTTATGAGACCAAAAACAAAAAAACACCAGAAAAAACCACCCCCAAACAAAAAACCAACATTAAATAGCTTTTGCTTTACAACATTAATGAAAAGGGAAGACAGGGATGATTTTAGGGTAAATGGATGATTATGCTATGTTCTCTGACTCTCAGTGAACTTTGAGGGACACGTATTCAAACTAGCAGGGATATATCTAATAAGCTAAGAAAATGGGATGCTAATAAATAGTGGGGACAAACCAGAACAGGAAAAGAGAAAAAAGGAATAAATATCAAGTTGGGTACATAGAAAACAAATATCAAGTTAATGGATTTAAGCATAGTAACTGCATCAATAATCATATTAAATATATATTGTCTGAAAATTGGAAGGCCAAGATTGTCAGACTGATAAGTATAGTATCAGAGTCTCACAAACAAGTTACAAGAGAGATATAAAATGATACTCCGTATAAAACATACTAAATTTAGAAGTTAGGTTAATATCAAAATGTATTTCAGGAAAAGAAGTATTAACCATAAAGCTCCTTTACAACACATGTTCTCTCCTGAACTAATCCATGCCTACAAATCCTAACCTACTTCTTTAACACTCAAATTAGTTCCTTTATGAGCCAGGTGGTCATGAATTAGCTACCTCCCAACAGGCTCTGTCTTAAATGTCCATACCTTTTGTATTGGGGACCAAACTTCAAGCACATGAATCTTTGGGAGAGAAACCACATCTAAACCATAGCATCTTATTAAGACTCTTTTATGATATTGTTTCCCCAAATTTCTTAGTCTTTACAAATTAAACATATTTAGAATAGTGTTTTCTACAACAACACAACAACAGAAAAAAACCAATGTAAAGTGCATTTTTTTTCTTCTCAGTTTTTCAGTACTCTGTCATTTAGTTTACTGTTTTTATTCTGCTATATTTTAGATCATATAGGGTGATATAGACATAGTATAGAAAGGGATGTAAGCATATTTTGTGATTCTGGTGTCATTCTTAAATGGAAAACAAAAAATGAAAAACAACCTCAAATTACTCTTTTAGAAACGATTTTGACTGGGCCTACCTCACCTTTACCATCTCCGGGAAATGGGAGTGAAACCGCACCTGGATCAGTTACACAGCCAAAGAAAATTCGAGGAATTGGATTTGGAGATATTTTTAAAGAAGGCTCTGTGAAACTTAGGACAAGAACATCCAGTAGTGAAACAGAAGAGAAAAAAGCAGACAAGGTAATAATGGTGGGTTTAACTCAGGACATCAGATCCCTTCAACTTCATCATCTCAATTTCAGTTAGCATTTTGGGATGAGAATATTGCCTTTTTTTTTTTTTTTTTTTTTTTTTTTTTTTTTTTTTTTTTTTTTATTTTTGAAGCAGTGTCTCCCTGTAGCCCCAGCTGGCCTGGAACTCACTATATTAGACCAGGCTGGCCTTGAACTCACAGAGATCCGCCTGCCTCTGCCTCCCAAGTGCTGGAACTACAGGTGTGCGCCACCACGCCCGGCTGAGAATATTGTCTTTTTGTTTATACGCTCGTTTGAGACAAGGTTTCCCTATGTAGCTCAGGCTGACCTAGACCTCAAGATCTACTTGACACCCTTCCGTTTTTTTAAGATGTGAAAGTCAGTTAGCAGTTCTGTTATTTTTCCCCCACCTTTTTGTTATGAACGAGAATCATATGGGAAACTTTTTTTTCTCCCAATTTGCAATAATTAATAATTATGTTTCACTCTTACAGAATTAGGGTGCTGATTACTTGGTAAATTCAACATAAACCTTTAGTGGGGCATTGGGGAAGGTGGATGAGTATAAATGCAAACCTCATTTAGCAATATTTTTATTTTAACTTACACTAGTCAATACTCTTCTCTTCTAGTCCTTAGTCATACAGTCACTAGGATCTAAAACTCCGAATGTGGAGATAACAAAAACAGACATTGATGGCAAAATTAAAGGTAAGTTTTAAAAATAAAACCTCTATAAATATACTCATTATTAACTTGTTAAAGGGATGAGTTCACTGTCCTAATTACTAAACTATAGAAGTACCTGAGGTTGAGAATTTGGTCATGTATCTCTGAAATTAAAACTATGCCTGGTGCATAGCAGACATTTAGTAATATTTGAATGATTAGTGAATTTTTTTCTTAACATACAGTATTGACTTTTTAAGAATTATCTCACCTTTAGTAGCTTCTTGAGTGTATTAATTCACACAGTAGAGGATTAATAAGTATTTGATGCATTAATCAACTTCTTACATTATTTGCAATCTTTATTTCAGCTAAGGAGTATTGTAGAACATTATTTGCCTATGAAGGTACCAATGAAGATGAACTTACTTTTAAAGAAGGGGAGATAATCCATTTGATAAATAAGGTAGAGTATTTTTCATTGAATCATTTAACTCACAGAAATATAATATCTTCCAAAATTCCTGCATTGCCTTTAGAATACCAGCTGTACCTGATCTGAGACTTTGTCTTGCTTGTTTTTGGGTTCTGAGAACTTGGAACATAGTACATACTCATAAAGTATATTTTTATAAAAAGCTCTTGTTTATATTTTTTATTGACATATTAAAAAACTAATGGTTGCATTGCTTCCCCCCCCCCCTTTATTAACCCCGGGAAATAGGCAACCTAAATAAATGTCCATTAATAAGTAAAAGGTTATGAAAACTCTTCATCCTGTGGGAATGGTGTTATTTTTTAATTATGTATGTATGTGTTTGTTTATGTGGGTTGTGTGTGTGCACCATGGCATGCATATGGAAGTCAAAGGAGAATTTGCAGGTCTGTTCTCTCTACCGTTTGAGTCCTTGGGATTGAACTCAGGTCATCAGCTGGCAAGCACTTTTACCCTCTGAGCCATCCTATGAGTCTTGGTGCTGCTATTTTAAAGACAAGAAATGATTATATGAATGAGTAAATTCTCAGCGGAAATCATCCCCCTCCCCCATATTTAGATCAGGCAGAATGCTGAAGTTCATCTTACTGTTTTAAATTGACTTTGTTATGTAAGCTTAGTGTATGTAAGTTTTGGGAAATATATTTTATTGTGTATGTTTAAAGTATATGTATTATGGGATACATAAAGTTAGCCAGAAGGTTATTGTACTGAAGCAGATGAGTATACCATGACCTCACTTGGGTACCCATGTGATAAACAGTCCACTCATTTAGCATGAATCCCATAAATGTGTTATTTTTAATATTCATAGTGTTTGGACTGATAAGACTTAGTTTTCATGCAGATGGTATTTTGGAGGAATTTAGAAGAGTGTTAATTTCTAAAGTTGCTAGTTGCTAGGTAAGTTATTTTTAGTATATCAGTTGTGTTAAATCTATTTTAAAAATTCAATTTGGGAATTATTTCTGTTTCTCATCTTTTTATGTTTTTCTTTTTTCTCTTGAGAACATTTTAACCTCATAGATTTAAATTTCTAATTTGATTTACTGTAAAACATTAAATCCAGGTCAGACAGGGTCTCCCAATGTCCTAGAACTCACTATGTAGACCAGGCTGGCCTTGAACTCACAGAGATCTGCCTGCCTCTCAAGTGCTGGAATTAAAGGGATGTGCCACCATGCCCAGCCAGGTTTTTTCTTTTTGAGACACAGACTGTGTAGTCCTGATTGGCTTGGAACTCCCTATGTAGACCAGACTTGCTTTGAACTCACAGAGCTCCACCTGTTTCTGCCTCCCAGGTGCTGGGATTAAAGGCATGTACCATCATGCCTGATGTAAACCTCATTGTGTACTTGCTGCTAAAACCGATATGTGGGAAATTGTTTTTCCTTGGAGAACCTCACTGTTTAGTGCATACCATCCCCTACGCTCCCACCCCCATGCCTCCGTCCACCTCCATGGAAAGATCATGAAAGTCATCATTTCCTAGTTCATTGTGATCTTTTCCTCCATTAATGATAACTACTAATGGCTGGGTTTGGTAGCATCGGCTTGTAGAGTTGGAAGCAGGAAGATGGTGAGTTTGAGGCCATCCTAGGCTACCTAGAAAGAATTCCCCCCCCCCAAAAAAAAAGAAAATGAGAGAAAGATAGGTTTCATTAGCTTAATAATTTGTTTGCATTTTAGGAGACTGGAGAAGCAGGCTGGTGGAAGGGTGAACTCAATGGTAAAGAAGGAGTGTTTCCTGATAATTTTGCTATTCAGTTAAGTGAACTGGATAAAGACTTTCCAGTAAGATTTTGTTTGTTTTTTAATGATGATAATACTTTAACATTTTGCCATTATTTTTTCAAAAATAGAGTTTTTACATATTATTGAATAAACAGTATAGAGTTTCATAAAATTACACATTTGAATAAAATTTGTTTGATTTACCATAAAACAGTATTGTATGTTAGTCCCATGCTTTATTTCTGTTTTCTCTTAACCCTGACTATATGTTCTGAAAGTAAACTTTGACTTCTTTACTGGTCTACAAAAAAAGGGCTGGCTTTATATAAGTTAAATAAGTTAATAATTTTAAGAATGAAATTATTTTTATTTAATGTTATTAAAAAGTTCCAATTTATTTTAAACTCACTACTGTAATGCTGAGTGTTTGCCTTATGTAATATTTCCCAGAAAGAAAAAAAGTAAACTGAGTTTACGTGTGATCTTTCAGTGGCTTGATGCTTTTTTGGTGGGTTTAGGGACCCGAGCTTAGAAGATAGAGGCCACAGCAGTGAGAAGTACATGGCCGTCAGACGGCCAGCCGCCTTCAGTTTAGGCCCACGTGGAACATGCTCATTGCTCATTCTGTAGTTTTTTTTTTTTTTTGTCTTTTTGAGACAGGGTCTCCCTGTAGCCCCAGCTGACTTGAACTCACTGTGTAGACCAGGCTGGCCCTGAACTCACAGTGATCCGCCTGCCTCTGCCTCCCGGGTGTTGGGACTAAAGGTGTGCACTGCCACGCCCGGCCATTTTGTAGTTTATCAAGTTAATCAAGTTTATGATTGGCAGTTATTTTGTAGAGACTTTGGCTGCCAGTTCTTCCTCTGCTAGACCGAATTCAGTGTTGTACCACCCTTCAGTCTACTTTTATTCTTTTATTAAGAAACACTGTTTTTCGGGACTGGAGAGATGGCTTAGCAGTTAAGATCCCTGGCTGCTCTTGCAGAGGACTTGGGTTCGAATCGCAGCACCCACATGACAGCTAACAACTGTTCCTAACTCCAATTCTAGGGGATCCGATGCCTTCTTCTGACCTGCGTGGGCATTGCACAACATGGATGTACATACATCCATGCAGGCAATACATTCATATACATAAAATAACAAAATATTAAAAGAAACTATTTTTCTGTTTTATTATACTGCTTCTTAGTTATTCTTAATTTAGAATATTCCAGTTAGAAATGCTGTAAAACATTTTAAGACATTAAGTCTTAAAAGTGAATGAGTGCTGGTGCTAGAGACACGGCTCAGCAGTTAAGAGCACTGGCTGCTCTTCCAGAGAACCTGGGTTCATATGGCATCTAATAACTGTCCTTCCTTAACTCCAGTCCCAGAGGGCGTCCGACACCCCTCTTCTGACCTTCATGAGTTTTGCACAGCATAGGTGCACTTATATCCATACAGGCAAAACTCTCATACACATAAAAATTAAACAAACAAACAAAAAAACTTTTAAAAAAAAGTGAATGAGCCTTTGAATGCTGCCTAGGGTCCACTCCACATGGCCTTGTTCTTGATTCCCGTCGTAACTTAAAGGAAAACTAATACAATGTCTGGAGCCCTTGATGTCCTGCAAATGAAAGAAGAGGATGTCCTCAAATTCCTTGCAGCAGGAACCCACTAGGGTGGCACCAGCCTTGACTTCCAGATGGAACAGTAAGTACAAGAGGAAAAGTGGCGGCATCTCCATCGTGAATCTGAAGAGGACCTGGGGAAGCTGCTGCTGGCAGCTCCTGCCATTGTTGCCATTGAAAACCCTACTGATGTCAGCATCATCTCCAGGAACACTGGCCAGCCAGCTCTGCTGAAGTTTGCTCCTGCCACTGGAGCCACTCCAATGGCTGGCCGCCTCATTCCTGGCACCTTCACTAACCAGATTCAAGTAGCCTTCAGGGAGCCACGTATTCTGGTGGTGACTGACCCCAGGGCTGACCACCAGCCGCCTCACAGAAGCTTCTTACGTCAGCCTGCCTACCACGCTCTGTGTAACACAGATTCTCTGTACTTCGTAGACATTGCCATCCCATGCAACAATAGGGAGCACACTCGGTGGGGTTGATGTGGTGGATGTTGGCCGGGGTAGTTCTGCGCATGCGTGGTACCATCTCCTGTGAGCAGCCGTGAGATGTCATGCCTGATCTCTACTTCTGAAGAGATTGAGAAGGAAGAGCAAGCCGCTGCTGAAAAGGCTGTGACCAAGGAGGAATTTCAGGGTGAATGGACTGCACCAGCTCCTGAGTTCACCGCAGCTCAGCCAGAGGTGGCAGACTGGTCTGAAGGCGTGCAAGTACCCTCTGTATCTATCCAGCAGTTCCCTACCGAAGATTGGAGTGCTCAGCCGGCCACTGAGGACTGGTCTTCAGCCCCTATTGCTCAGGCCACTGAATGGGTTGGAACAACTACCGAGTGGTTGTGAGCTGTGCTGCAGACACTTTAGCAGGATGGAGAGAAGGTGGATGGAAAATAAAATGTTTCTTTGGAAAAAAACAGTGAACGAATGCTTAGGGATTGATAGAAAAGAGGCCTTTGCCTTTAATATTACCTATGAGTGTTTCTGAGACTTAAGAATAAAAGCTAGGTCCGTTGTTACCCCCCCCCCCTTTTAAAATTGCACATACGTACTTTTAAATATTTGTTTTATGATTTCATGCACAGAATTACTTTGGTCGTATTTTTCCCATCCCCCTCTGTAGTCGCCTTCCCCCGTCCCCACCTCCCAGCAAGCCCATTCTGCTTTCACCTTCTCTTGTGGTTTCTTGTTTGTTCTCACTGTATTTCATTAGGATTGCCTGCATTACTGAAAGGGGGTTTATTTACTTGAGCAAGGGCACATTACCAGTGGCCACCAGACCAAGGACTATGACTCGCCCTCCCCAGGAACTGTAACAGTCTGTAGCTCCTCAGGGAGGAGTGGGCCATAGGAGCCTATCCTCAGGCAAGTCTTGTGCAGGTTGCCACTGCTGTTGTGAGTTCATGGCTGCAACAGCCATGTCATATAAAGACAATTTCACAGCACTCCTTCCCACCCTCTGGCTCTTACATTCTTTTGCCCCCTCTTCTATTATATTTCCTGAGCCTTGGAGGGGATGATTTAGAAGTATAGTTTAGTGCTGAGTTTTTCTCAGTATTTTGATCAGTTATGAGTCTCTGCATTAACTATCACCTGCTGTAAGCAGCTTTTCTGACCAAGGCTGAGAGCAGCAGAACTCTCTATGAGTGTAAACCATTTGGAAGGCAGTTTGACATCATGTCCATATAGAAAGCACCAGTAGTAGTTTAGTTTACACCCTATAGCCTGTGACCTCCCCATCCACTCACTTTTGAACAGGTTTACAGTACCAGGTATGAGTTTCTCCTTTGGAGCAGCCCTAACATACAATTAGAAAGTGGTTCAAGGCCAGCAGGGTCTATATAGTAAGACTTTTTGACTACATGACTGACGTGCCACTACTGTGCTGGTGACATAAGGTCTCACCTCTCCTTGCCTTGTCACCTACTCTAGCCTACCCCTGAGCTCTGCAGCAGGGTAAGATGATGTTTAAGCATCTTCATTTAAGTAGACCAGGATGGAAAGTTTTTCTCATCTAGAGTTTTTGGCTTTACCCACTTTATTAAAAAAAAAACAAACCTTTATTTATTATTTTTTGTGTATGAGTGTTGTGCTGATGAGTGTGTTAATAAAATATTTAAAAAATATGTATTTGACTAATTTTTGATCACGGAAGCTGTTTATTTGAATGTCATAAAATTTTTCAGTGACCTTTTTTGGGGTTGTTATGAGAAAAGATTTAGATTATTTTCATTGTAAATAGCCAATTTTAACCTTTTTGTTTGTTTGTTTAAACAGAAACCAAAGAAACCACCTCCTCCAGCCAAGGGTCCAGGTTTGTAAGAAACACATTGTTTAGTTTTTTACTTTTTGTTTTTGTTTGTCTTTTTGAGACAGGGCCTCCCTGTAGCCCCAGCTGTCCTGGAACTCACTATGTAGACCAGGCTGGCTTTGAACTCACAGAGATCCACTTGCCTCTACCTCCCGAGTACTGGGATTAAAGGCGTGCGCCACAAAGTTCTAAAACGGTAAAGTCTGGTTTAACGTACACCATTAAATTTTATTGGCATAACTATTATGCATGCAAAAATGTTTTAGAACTACTATAAAATGGAATATTCACATGCATTATTAATTATGACTTTTAAAAATACAAATGATGTATAGTAAGGATCCTAGTCAGGTTTGGTGGTACATGCCTCTATCTCAGCACTTAAGACTGTAAATTCAAGGCCAGCAGGGTCTATATAGTAAGACTTTTTGTCTCTAAAAATTAAAAATAACAAAAGAAGGATCTTGAGAAGAAATGTGGATACTTCAGTAATAGGAAATACCAAATTAATAAAATCGATGTTTAAACTTGTTGTAGAATGACTTGACTGAAATATTTATTCTACCTTTTCATTCATTTCTTTTGAATGACAAAACTTTATGTAATATATTCCTAGATATGGTATGGAGGTTTGTTTGGGGTTTTTGTTTGGTTATTGTTTTGTTTTGTTTTTTTTTAAGAATCTCCCTGTGCAGCTGAGGCTGGCTCTGAATACACTATGTAGACTGTGTTGGCCTCAAACTCTACCTTTTGAGTGACCAAATTAGAGGTGTGTTAAAACCATGTCCTATCTGTTATGACTTTGCAAATGAAACAAAATTGATTGTATGTATACAGATAATATTCATAAGATGAATATGCTAAATCAAGGAACATTAATTAATTAATTAATTTTCTTAAGAGAGGAGCTCCCTGTCTTATCAGCTGGCCTTGAACTCGATAATGTAGACCAGGCTGGCCTCAGTCTCACAGATATTCTCCTATCTCTGTCTTCTGAGTGCTGGGATTAATTGTGTGCCCTGCCTGCAACACCTGGCTTTGCATATTGTTATTAAAAGTGAGTATTCATTTTGGTTCTCTTTCCCCAACCCCCAGCTCCAAAGCCGGACCTATTAGCAGCGGAGAAGAAAGTTTTTCCTCTAAAGCCTGAAGAAAAAGGTAAATCTGACTCCTCCTTCACCCACCATGTCCTTTCTTTGATTATCATCTTAAGGAAATAATGTTCCACAATTGATCCTCTACAGTTTTTTTCTGCACTTGTTGATACTTATTTTGCCATGTTTAGTTTTCTAAGAATGAATATTTTATCAAGATTGATTGGAAATTATCAAGTTGATAGCAATTTCTATCATAAAAAAATTCCTTTAGTAAGATGTAGTATTTTGATTGTATTTCAACTAATGTATAAGAAATCTTAGCATTAGAGAATTGACTTGTTATTTTTTTATAGTGATTCATTGAAAATAAGCTTAAAATTCTTTGGAATATATAAAAGTGAGCTCTTAAGTGTGGAGATAAGTATTCTTGAATCTTATTGCATTAAACATGGAACATTATTTCTAGATATGTGTTTTGTCAAAACATTGATACTAAGTTTTAAGAAAGTAAGGCTTTCTCTGTACAAAACAATCTGCAGTGCTTATCTCTAGATTGGGTTGAATATCGTTTTATAATGCTTTACCTAAATTATTGTCTTCTTAACTCATTTCTCCCACTTCAGTACCTTGTATGTCTTGTACTTCATAGAGTGTTTCCAGGGTTTTTTTTTTTTTTTTTTTTTTAAGTACACAAATTTTGGAGCAGTTTTAGGTTCACAAGAAGTTGAACCAAGGTCAGGCAAGATGGTTCAAGTAAAAGTGCGTGTTGTGTAAGCCTAACAATGTGAGTTTAATCCCTGGAAGCCACATTCCTGTTACCTCCACACATGTACCATGGAATGTGCACCCCCCCCCCACCATATCCACCCATACACAGCAATAAGAAGGAAGAAAAGAAATTGAACCAAAAGTTTAAAGAGTTCTCATATATCCTTTGTCCCCCTGTAGGTACACAGTCTTCTCCACTATAAACAGTCTGTGCCAGAGTGGTATATTTCTTGATTAGTGCTTATAACTATAAAGGACAAGTACAGTAACTTTCCCCTAGTGCTGTACATTCTGTTGGCTGGGTCAAATGCATTATGGCCTGTATCCACCATTTTAGCTTTCATTGTCCAGAAATTCCTCTCTGCTCCCCTCATACCTTCCCCCTTCTGAGTTCTTGGCACTCATGTGTCTCCTCACCTGTTTCCAGAGGTTTGTTCTTCCTAATGTGTGATATTGTAGGTAGCCTTTTTAAAATTTATTTTCTGTGTATGAATGTGTTGCCTGTGTGTATGTGAGTGCACCCGTATTGTGTAATGCCCACAGAGGTCAGAAGAGGGTGTTGGATTCTCCTGGAACTGAAGTTATTGATGGTTGTTAGCTGCCATGTGGGTGCTGGGGATTGAACCTGAGTCCTCTGCAAGAGCAGTCGGTGCACTTAACTGAGCACTTAACTGCTGCCCCATCTCTCCAGCCCTGTAGGTAGCCTTTTTAATAAGTTTCTTTCACTTACTATGCATATGAGATCTCCTCAGGTCTGTTTATATCTCACTTTACCCACTGAGGAATATTTTGATTGATTCCAAGTTTTGGAAGCTGCTATACACATGTATGTAGGTTTTTGTGTGGATGTTGTTTTCAGTGCATTCAAATCAACACCAAGGAGTGAGATTGCTGGCTTCTCTGGTCAGAACATGTTTAGTTTTGTGAGCAATGGCCAAACCATTTCCAAAGTAGCTGTGCTGTTCTGCAGACCCCCTGGCAGCGGGTCTGTATCCTTGCCAGCATTCTCTGTTGTGCATCTTAGACATTCGTATGTTGTGTGATCGTGTCTTCATGACATCCAGTGTTGAACATCCTTTTGTTTACTTCTCAGCTACACGTCTTTGGTGAAGTGTATGTTAGGGCTTTGTTCATTTTCTTGTTGAGTTCTTTGTATGTTTTGGATAGCACTCCTTTAAAACATGTATTTTTTCCAAATATTTTTTACATTGTTTGGCTTACTTTCCTTGTTGAGCAGTTTTACTTTTTAGGTTTTCTTAAAATTCTCTCTCTTTTTTATTTTTATTTTTTGGTCTTTTTGAGATGGGGTCTCCCTGTGGTTCCAGCTGGCTTAGCATTAGCTTTGTAGACCAGGTTGGCCTTGAACTCACAGAGATGCCATCTGCTTCCACCTCCCAAGGTGGGATCAAAGGCATGCTCCACCACCTTGCCTTAAAATTCTTTCCGAAAAGCTTATTTTATTTTTGGAGAGAGAGAGAGAGAGAGAGAGAAAGAAAGAGTGAAAGAGTGATTGATTTATGTGTCATTGTCAGAGTATGTGTGGAAATCAGAGGAAAACTTCTTACCATGTGTTCTGAGAACTGAACCCAGGTCACTAGGCCTGTATAGCAAGCACTTTGACCTGTTGAACTGTCTTGACAGTCCTAAATTTTATTAAATGTCTGATCATCAATCATTTCTTTATGGATCATGCCTTTGTTAATACCCAAGACTAATTCTTTTCCTATGCTAATATAGGAAATTTAAAAATTTAGGTCTGTGGTCACATTTGAGTTTTATCTAGCTTCTTAGCTTATTGCTAAAGGTCCTCTATAGGCTGTAGAAGAGAAGTCAAGCAGAACCTTGAGTTGAAGGCACAGGTAGGAATTTAGGCTGTCAGGGTGGTTGTGCAGTGTACCAGTGTAGTGGTTTCCGCACAGAGGGACCATGCAGTGATCTGCTTTGGGTTTACTCTGAGGCCTGAATGCTGACCCACACATGTATGAGGGGAAGTTTCATAGCTAGAGAGATAATTGCTGGAAAACAATAGTGGAAACAATTTCTGTTACTCACAAGTAGTTCACATTGCCATGAACAGAAAGAGCTTCTTGTAATATGTAGTGTGGATAGGGCAATTAGATGGAGTCCATAAAAGGACCCATCACCTAAGACCAAGGCTCCGATAATCTGATCATCGTGAAGACAGAGCTAACTAATTTCAGAACAGAATTGAAGTGTAAAATAAAATCCCGTGTTCAGGAGTATAGTGCTCACATCACCTACTGTCCGATGAACCAATATCAGACATGGAAAGAAGCAGGGAAATGGCAACACATGATCAAAAGGAAAGTCAGCCGGTAGAACCAGAGACAGAAGTGCAGAACTCGGGACTGCAGGCACGAACGTTGAAACAGCAAGTAGGAATATTTCTCATTGCTAGCTTTGTAGACCAGATTGGCCTTGAACTCACGGAGATGCCATCTGCTTCCTACTCCTGAGCGCTGGGATCAAAGGTGTGTTCCACCACACCCGGCCTTACAGTTCTTTTTAAAAAAGCTTATTTGTGTGTGTGTGTGTGTGTGTGTGTGTGAGAGAGAGAGAGAGAGAGAGAGAGAGAGAGAGAGAGAGAGAGAGCGTGAGCGCTGAACCCAGGTCTCTAGGAGTGTACAGCAAGCACTTTGAGCTGTTGTTTAAAGGAAAGCATGATGCTCTGAGAAATGGAGTATATAAGACTAATTAATTGATTATGTGGTGGTCATGAAAATTCTTTGGTGTCCATATCCATATAATTTTTTTTTTATTTTGGTATCTTTGTGTAGCCTCCCCTGGTCTGGAACTTGCTATGTAGACCTGGCTGGCCTCGATCTCACAGAGATCCACCTGCCTCTGCCTCCTGAGTGCTGCAATTAAAGGCATGTGCCACCATACCTGGCCTTTTGTATATCCATATAATTTTGTCACTTATTAAAGAAGAAATCAAATTTGTGAGGAGGATGTACTCTTTTTTAATGTAAAGAATTAAGCTTGATTGAGTGATACTGTAGGAAGTAGAGTACGGTCAGTGTTTTCACAGTTGATTGGCACTTTAATTGTATAATTGTCAGTGCTGAGAATACCACTTCATGAAAACACAGTGCAAGATGTCAGGAGTTCATTTAGAGCCATTTCAGAAATGTTGGTAATTGTTTAATCCCAAACCAAAATTCATTTGACAGTTTTTTAAAAAGGTAAAACTCAACTTAGCCGCTCAGATAGCAATTTAAAAACCAGGCATTCTAGTATAATATAATCACCAGATGCCACCAATTTGATGCTTACATGGTAAAGAGTGATGACAGGAAAATATTAAAAGTCTTTGATTTCTGTAATTAAACCATCGCGTTTCTGTAAGATCAGAAAAGTCGGGGCTGGAGAGATGGCTCAGCGGTTAAGAACACTGGTTGTTCTTGCAGAAGACCCAAGTTTGAATCCCAGCACCCACATGACAGCTAACAACTGTCCGTAACTCCAGTTCCAGGGGATCTGACGGCTTCTTCTGTCCTCCATGGGCAATGCACAACACGGGTGCACTTACCTACATGCAGGCAATGCACACATATACATAAAATAAAAAAATAGTAAAATTTTTTTAAAAAAGGAGCAGAAAAGTCCTGAATCCTAGCGAAGATATTTCAGGCAGCCTTTTGCTGTGATTGCTTTGACAGTTGTGCAGCAGTGAAAACTGCACATGTCTTCAGAACTGAGGCCGTGGCGACGCTTCATGATGCAGACATGCAAGTACTGCCAGAAACAGCTCACGTTCACTTTGCACTTGGTTTTCAGTTCACTTTTGGAGTTGCTTCCTTAAACTTCTTGTGCACTTGACATGTTTTTCATCCCCTCACATTCACAACCCAATTTGAATAGCTGATACGTGTGTCCTGCTCACCCACGGTCACACCCACATGCCCCCAACTCCTTGAAAGTGGTATTCGTCTCTGAGAACATCAAGAAGCATCTTGTGAAAGGTGACATTGCTGCTGCTGGTTCCCACCCAGAGCGCCCGCGTCCTTGGTAATTGATCCACTTATTTGCTGGATTAAATTTAATAAGTGATACCAAGGCTGGATCTTTGTTGTTCTGTTCTTCATTGTCTAGACAGCAGCCTCTCTCACATTCTCTGTGTCAGTCACCATCTTTTTATTGAAAATTCCAACTCAATATTTGGTTAACTTTGTATATATTTATTGTGTTTTTTGTTATTTTGGTCTTTTTGAGACAGGGTCTTTCTGTAACCACAGCTGGCCTGAAACGATATGTAGACCAAGCTGTTCT